GCACCTGCTTAGAACTTTCTAAATGAAGTCAGATGCGTACAACTATATTTCTAAATAAACGTGAATTTAGTAACAGTAATCGCCTGCACTCCTTTAGTTTCCATCCCATTACTTTCCAATCAGTCACCGTTTGTTCTTGCAGACAACTGTAATGCTGTAGGTGTTACTACTAATGGGCTGAAACAGATAAGCGAGGAGAAGTGTGAAGTAACTCTGGAATCTCTATTCACTCTTGAATGTTCTAACATCTTAAACGTACTTTAAACTGTAGGACTGGCAATGAGTTTGATTTGTGACTTTTAAAAACCTTGCTTTACCTTTACAGGTGCTGGTCATAAAATTAGAATATCATGAAAAAGTAGATTGATTTCAGTAATTCCATTTAAAAAGTGAAACTTGTATATTATATTCATACATTACATACAAACTCATATATTTCAGATGTTTATTTTGTTTAATTTTGATGATTACAAATGACAACAAATGAAAATCTCAAATTCATCATATCAGAAAATTAGAATATTGTGAAAAGGTTCAAAATTGATGGCCCCTGGTGCCACACTCTAATCAGCTAATTAACTCAAACCACCTGCAAAAGCCTTTAAATGGTCTTTCAGTCTAGTTCTATAGGCTACACAATCATGGGGAAGACTGCTGACTTGACAGTTGTCCAAAAGACGACCATCGACACCTTGCACAAGGAGGGCAAGACACAAAAGGTCATCGCTAAAGAGGCTGGCTGTTCACAGAGCTCAGTGTCCAAGCACATTAATAGAGAGGCGAAGGGAAGGAAAAGATGTGGTTGAAAAAAGTGTACAAGCAAGAGAGATAACCGCACCCTGGAGAGGATTGTGAAACAAAACCCCTTCAAAAATGTGGGGGAGATTCACAAAGAGTGGACTGCAGCTGGAGTGAGTGCTTCAAGAACCACCACACACAGACGTATGAAAGACATGGGTTTCTGCTGTCGCATTCCTTGTGTCAAGCCACTCTTGAACCACAGACAGCGTCAGAAGCGTCTTGCCTCGGCTAAAGAGAAACAGGACTGGACTGCTGGTGAGTGGTCCAAAGTCATGTTCTCTGATGAAAGTAAATTTTGCATTTCCTTTGGAAATCAAGGTCCCAGAGTCTGGAGGAAAAGAAGAGAGGCACTTCATCCACGTTGCTTGAAGTCCAGTGTAAAGTTTCCACAGTCAGTGATGGTTTGGGGTGCCATGTCATCTGCTGGTGTTGGTCCATTGTGTTTTCTGAGGTCCAGGGTCAACGCAGCCACATACCAGGAAGTTTTAGAGCACTTCATGCTTCCTGCAGCTGACCAACTTTTTGTAGATGCAGATTTCATTTTCCAACAGGACTTGGCACCTGCACACAGTGCCAAAGCTACCAGTACCTGGTTGAAGGACCATGGTATCCCTGTTCTTAATTGGCCAGCAAACTCTCCTGACCTTAACCCCATAGAAAATCTATGGGGTATTGTGAAGAAGAAGATGCAATACACCAGACCCAACAATTCAGAAGAGCTAAAAGCCACTATTAGAGCAACCTGGGCTATCATAACACCTGAGCAGTACCACAGACTGATCGACTCCATGCCACGCCGCATTGCTGCAGTAATACAGGCCAAAGGAGGCCCAACTAAATACTGAGTGCTGTACATGCTCATACTTTTCATGTTCATACTTTTCAGTTGGCCAACATTTCTATAAATCCTTTGTTTTTATTGGTCTTCAGTAATATTCTAATTTTCTGATATGATGAATTTGAGATTTTCATTTGTTGTCATTTGTAATCATCAAAATTAAACAAAATAAACATCTGAAATATATGAGTTTGTATGTAATGTATGAATATAATATACAAGTTTCACTTTTTAAATGGAATTACTGAAATCAATCTACTTTTTCATGATATTCTAATTTTATGACCAGCACCTGTATTTAGATAACTGTCCCGTTTCTCACTAAAACACTATAAGCATTACTATAACATTCAATATCCTTAACTTTTGAGACAGAACAGTTTGGTATTTTGTAAGATGATATCCTGTGTCTGGCAGCCAATGCACTGTAGACCCTTGTGATTACAAATGACCTTCTTTAGCAATAATGCTACAGTGTTGTCTCTTATCTACATTCTCTTGGTTCTTTTTCACTTTGCGTGACACAATTGTGCATTTATCAGTGTAATTGCTTGAGTCGGAAGTGCTGATGTTGTCTATTAGGTGTATTTCCACCCTGTTAAAAGCGTAAGGCCTTTTAATGTATGACCCTGCTTGAGTGTACTGCTACACACAATTACACACTGATCAGAGATTGAGTGGACTGATGATGCTGACAATTGTGATCTGATGGCAGAGATGATATTGGACCACCCAGCGCTTTTATGACAAGCCTTTCAGATAGTCTCCAAGAGTGAAACAACAGAGGGAAACTGAGGTTAATCATTTTATTTACTTGGTTTTCTCTCCCCTTTTCTCCTTCTATTCCTTTCTTCAACCAAGTGATGGAGCTCAGACCATGGAGTGCAGGGGGAAGAAATCGATAAGGAGCGCATTACAGTAAAACGTATTGATTAGGAGACCTGTGAGCAGTGTGTTGGTCGCAGAGATGGTGGAATGATGCAATGCTTAAAGGAATTTATCCTTTGACTTTTACATTAACCTTTTATTGACTGCTTTGCCTGTCCATAATTAACACTCACTTTAGCTAAAGTGGTTAGTTTAAGCGCAAAGGGGGCTTGGGCCCTTATTGCAGTGAGGGCCATGGAGCTGCTGCCCCTGCTGCAGTTCAAGTGCACTGTGCTGCACAGAGGTACAGGCCTCTGTGGAATAGAGGCGATAGAGTCCTAGATACCTTTCGCATTAGCATACCATTTGAGCAAGGGCCTGCCAGGCTATAAGGTTTCAGGGCAAATTGAAATGAGTGATTGTATTGCCAATCTCTCTTGACCGAGCGCCAGATGGGATAGTTAGGCCCATATCTGTCTGGGGTTAATCCATTGGAACAGCCTGGACTCACAAACATTCTCTACCTCCTTTAAAAGCCCTCCCTTTCCAACAGCCCAGAACACACACTCACACCTCTTTGTCTTTGACCTTAACTTTAAGGTGGACTGTTCTGCCATGGGAAAGTCTTTCTATGGGCCTTGTTTGTACGCCACTGTGACTTACACGGAATATCTAGTGAGAGCCCTGGAGAGCTTAAGGCACCTCGCCCGGTATTGACTTTTTGTTTGGTTCCATTTTAGTAGTCAGGAGACATACTCAGGAAACAGTGGTAGATTGTGTAAAAGTGTGTGCTGAATTACCTTCACTATATTATCTTTGATAGTCCTCCAGCCCCGATATCTTTTATATCTCTGGTAAAGCAAAAGCCTTCTGTTTGCGTGCAAATGTTGCTAGATCCCCTGTCAAATAAAGGCAGCAGCTCTGTTGAAGGTGGCCAGTTGTTTAGCCTTTCATTATGACTCAGGGCAGCAGGAAAAGTCTGTTCTTTCATAGCTCTGCTGCATGAATACTTTATCAGACCAAATCAAAAGTATGGCTTCCCCTGGCCTGTGGTGTCCATAAACTGATGTCAGCAGAATTTGCACGGCATGCGTCTGCTGTCTAGGTCAGTTTCCGCTCACACATTGCAGCGATCTGTATGCCAGCCGTGTCTTCATCCTCTCTCTCTGAAGTGGTGCTTCCTTTAATTCGCAACCTAAATAAATGATGAGAACATTTAAACACACGGCTCGTCGCAAAGCCCCAAGGTCGCTTAATCGTATTATTTATGAAGTGATGTGCTACATAATGGTACTTAGTGCATGTTAACAGATGCTATTATCAGGCCCTGATCCAGAACACCAAAAGATATATTGGACAGTGGATGTTAATGCTGCTCCTCACCACCGTAATGGGGCAGCCCTCTAAAGGGCTAACCGCACCAAAAATGCAGCACTTAGGCTGAGAGCCAGTTGAACATTAAGTGGCTCTGGAGAAAATATATTACAACAAATTGTGGCAGCCCCCGTCTGTCCCCTAACAACTTTAACATCCCCTTCTCCCATCTATAACCGACCCCCATATCTTTCTATTGGTCTCCTTCCTGCCCTCCCCTCAGTCTGTGGCCACAAGGTGGTGTTGGTGGTTGGGTTGTGTGGATAGGGTAGATATGACAGACGGTGGCATGATGACTGAGTGGGGAATATAGCTGGCCTTGTGGCTCAGGAAGCACGTTCTCCACACATAACATACAAAATGCCATCCCCAACCCCTCCCTGTTGCACCTCTAGGTCAGGGGTCACTCTCGTCTGTCAGGAGGCAGAGGGAGGGCAGATTTACAGTGACAGCAGAGAGCACAACAGAGTCACAGCAGTAAATATTTACACAGGTCTGACAAAAGATGTGTCTGAGGTCTTTTGGGGTTCAACATACTGTAGAAATTACAGCTGACCTCTGATTATTAATCACACAACAATCCTGCTGTTACAAGAATGGGCTGGGTTTCTCACTGCAGCAACAGAGAGTGATGTTCTTCTGAAAGCATCCTGCTGAGGGGAGCTCTTTGTGTGTGTGAAATGAATTGGGCATTAATCAAGATGTATGATATCATGTCTTATCATCACTTTCATGCTGTCGCAGCTATTTATCGTTTTCGAAAAATGTTCTGACACCACTTTTCCCATTTGTCTCAGCTATATTTGGTTCTGGAAGCTTAACTGGCTTGAAAGTGTGTCAGTATTGCCAAAAACAGTTCAGCTGTTCAAGACAAGTGTAGGAAACTAAAATGCTTTTCAGTCTCTTTTATACAAGAGAGACAAAGACAAACTGAACTGCTGCTAAACTGCAAAAGAGATAAAACAACCATTTATCTCTGGCTCTAACAGATTTATTGTTGCTGAATTTATCAGCAGAAAGTCTTCAGAGTCACTTGCCTTGATGTGTGTTTCTACCAATTAGTTGTGATGGGAGGGAGGAGTTAATGGCTTTGTGTGTTTCCTGTGTCCTATCGCCTCAGGTGCCACTCAAGTCTGGCCCAGACGTTACCCCCTGAGGAGGCCCCAGTGGACCGACCCTTCTGGGGTGTGGATGACCCTGGCATGCCTCTGCCCTTTGATCTGGCTGAAATCATCAGCAGAGTGGAGTCACTGCTGTGGAGGTGAGCCCAAAATAAATGTACTTACCCTTACTAAAAAGAAATATCTATATTTAATAGAGATTTACTGATGTGTAATAATTCTTAAAATCCTCTTTAATAGCAGCAGCAGCAAATCATATTACCAAGATGACAAAATTCCAGCCTTTTGATATAGCTTTTAGTTGCCTTTAGTGCATCCAGAGTCCTGGATCCTAATCTACGTGTTCTTCTCTAGGAATTAACACAATTTTATTTATTTAGTTTATATATAGATTTAGGTTTGGGGACCCTTTTATATCCAGTATTTGTTTTTATTTAAAATCCAGTTGTATGTCAAAGAGTTTATCATACCAACCAGGCTTAACAAGTATAACCAGGCCCACAGCATGACAGATTCTCCACCGTTCCTGACAATGAGGATGAGGTTCTTTACCACATACTCTAATCTAACAAGCTAAATCCATGTCAATCATACTGAATGCTCACCTGAACAAATCATTTCAGTAACAGTCCTCAAAGAATTTAGCCAACTTCTTGATTAACTCATTAAAGATAATTATTAATCTTGCTGCAATTACAAGAGTTATTTCTTTTTTTTAACTCTCTCGCAGTCCTCTCTCTTTAGTAGGTTAAAAGTTTCGGTCATCATAAAGCTTAGTAAGCAGTGGATGAAAAACTCTTTAGTGCTTGGCTTGTTTATTAGAAAACCCTTCCACCAGTTAAGCTATTATTATTACTGCTTGTTTTTTTTTCATAAATACATGCAGCACGCTGACACACAATAACTGAAAAGGTTATTTTTAGAGCAGTTTGCGAACCGTCAGTCATGAAATCAAGAGTGAATACATGTGTAGCACACCATGCGAGAACAGCTGAGAGGCTTGCTCAGGGCACAAGCAACACAAATGACCATTTATGGTCATTATGAAGACCCAGAAGGAAATTTTGAAAAAAATATTATCATATATATTTAAGGCTTATTTTTTTCAGTGTATCAGTATTCAGATCTGTGGAAAAGAGTCTTACAGCCCTAAAACTTTAAGTTGACCTTTTGACCTTGTATTCAGCTTTAGCTAAACATGCATGTCTGTTGTTCTTCAGAGAGCAAAAATAAATGTGTTTTTTAAGGGTCAACATTTTAGTTCCGCTAATCTACCTAGAACCAGCTGAAATGAAATGTCTTAAATAACCAGAAACTGTAAACCAAAATGATTCAATTTTATGTTACCGTCAAATGATATGTGAATTTTAAAGTTTTATCTTTTATTATTAAACATTTAAAATATGATGTATTTGTATTTCTATCTCTACTGTTTCTGTTATTAAAGCTGCAATGCCTTTTTGGTATGGCTCTTTGCTCACCCTTGGGACTGAACACTTGAAAATTCTTCTTTGAAATTAGTATCCAACAACTCTAGTTCGAAACCCCAATTGAGTGTTTAAAAAATCAGCTTATCCTCAACATTCAACATTAGTTAATAGTGGAAAATAATCAACCTTTTTCATGTTTCTATTTGTATATGTTTGATTCTGCTCTATCAGGATGTAAAGGTCTGATAAAGGAACCAAGGATGAAAAAAATCAACCCACCAGCTTCTCTGAATGGTCCACACATCAGCTTGATGAGACTGACAACGGATGTTCCATTTGTTGTGGTCCCATAATGGTTGGATGTGTTCTGATTGGAGCATCTACACCCTTCCCCACTGCTTCACCCACCGCTATCCCAGCCAGTATCTACATTTCAGTTACTCTATCTTGGATTTGTCAGGAAGCAGGAATCAGAGCACCACATTGTATTCAGAATAGCGCTTTAGCAACATGCTAACAACACAGAGCTTAGCAGCAAACTACTAGTGACACAACAGTCTAACAAAACATAAGTGGAACCTGCATTTAAGTGTTAGCATACATTGTATAACTATTTATTTCTGTGTACTCTGTTGCTTAATCTCATGTAATCCAGACCTGCTTTTATTAATGGACTGACTCATTCTCAGTAGCCTCAGTACCGTACATACACATATGCTTTCTGCTTGTCTCACAGTATTATGATATGGTATAGATTGGTAAGAAAACAAATTTTTCTCTCATGGTATTGCATTCTTCACTTATTCGTAGTGTTTTAGTGTGTTCAGAAGTGGAATAAGCCTGCAGAGACCAAAGAGAGACTACGATAAGAAAGTTCTGAATGTCATCGGGTGGAAAACATGAAGAACGTGTCGTGTTTGTGGTGCAGTGGCGTGCTTGTGCCATTTTGCTTTTCGAATGTGCCTGTTTGTCTGTCTGTGTTCGTTTACCAACGCCACTATACATGTGGTCGTCCGTTTGCTTGTATGTGTTGTTTTTGTGCACCCTCTCTCCCCCATTTGCCTACATGAAGGCACACATGTGTGAATGTGATAGCGTGCGTGAGCCCTGCAGGACGCCTGCCAGTTGTTTGTTCTCGAAGACGAAGGAACGGAGCGCTGCAGAAGAGCCCCCTTCTTCCTCTGCTCTGATGAAAGGCAGCGCTGATAGAATGACCCGGAACACAACCGCCGTTTCTCATAATTACAGCTGTTCAGTCGCTTTTAATTACTCTTAAAGCGTGTAGAGCACCACGTTCCCCTGTAATGCTGCGGGCCATCCGAGAGAGCGAGGGAAAGATCCGGAGCTTCTGACAAAATCCACTTTCAGAAAAGCTGCACAAAAAAAAGCGGGTTGAGGAAGAGGGCCGACGTCAAAGTGGTTTAGCAGCTCTGCTAGTTTGATTTTTCTCTCTGTCTAGTTCATGATGAAGTAGAGATGCTATTTGCTATTAAGAATGTGGAAGGCACTCCTTTTTTTACTTCCAAAGTTTTTTCAAAGATTTTAATGGTTGCCAAACGCTGTTCTTCTTACTTCTTCTTTCTGTGCTTTTTGTTGTTTCTTATTGTCAGGGAGATTTGTTTGTAGAACAGCAGCAGTGTTGACTTCTTTGAATCACTCTGTGCTCCCGGCGCCTCGGCTTGTATGTCTGAAGCAGTAGGAATGGCAGTAAATAAAGAAATGTGTTTTATCCAGCGGCCTTGGTCTGTCTCTTTTTTTTTTTCTAATTCTGCTTGATAAAGCACACACAAGTGTAACATTTGAATTGCACTGCATTTAATCTTCATTGATAGTATTTCCCTTGTATGTCTATCTCCAAAGTACCAGGATTGTATGACTCATGTGAATTGACTCTAATGGTCAAGATTTTAAATCTTTTCCTCTCACAACATTTCTTTTTTTACAAGCTGATATATGTGTGTTGTTCTGTCCTGAAAGGTTGACGTATGTCCATTTCTATTACAGCTTCATGTCATTTTGAGTAAACCTCTATCAGGTTTGTAGTTAAGATCACATAATTTAAAAAAAAACAACTAAAAATTTATGCAAAAATAATTTTTCATGGGAAAAAAAGATGAAAAGCCACAAGTTAAGCTTCTGTTGTCAAGCCTTACCGATTATATTTATCAATAAGCTTATTGTGGAATTTGACTGAGCCATTTTAACACATAAACCTTTTGATCTTAAACTTATTAATTTAATCTTTGGTGCAGGTTTTCTTCTAAAAAACAAAATTCTTATGCTTTCCTGTCCTCTCTAACCAGATCCCCTATCTTTACAAGAATCCCTTTTGCATGATACTTTCCCCACAATATTTCAACGTGGAAATAAAGTGTGCAGTGTTGATGTGCCAAAATGCCACTCATAGTGTTTTACATGTTGGTCAAAGAGTAAAATTTTAATTTAAATTTTCTCATTTAAATTGAATTCTTTACATTATTTGTATAATAATGACCTTCATATGTCAACTTCTTTATTAAGGCTAGAATGAGAGAGGTGATTCTGTTCATAGAGGCTCCCACCCCAGCTGTGGATCAGTCTAGCTTCTCCTGAGCTAACATGTCTGAAAGCTGCTTCTCTGATATATGATACATTTCATTTCTTTGTAGGTTTGCCATCCATAGGTGGGTGGAGTACTCAAAAAGTGTACTTAAGTTAACATTTAAAAATTTTTTACTCAAGTAAAATTTAAAAAGTATTAGGTAAAAAGGCTACTAAAGTACTGAGTAATTGTTGGATTCAAACATCAGATTTATTGCTTAGAAATAATGCTGACAAACAAACCTTATGTCTAAGTTCTGGTATTTTAAAGACTCAAATGAATAAAGAATAGAAATAAATGTCATAAATATAAAAGAACATATTCGTGCTAAACAAATATTTTTACCCATTTTTTTTCCAACAATAAACTTAGAAACCAATCCTTGCAATGAAAACTATATGTTAAGTATATTTACCTGATTTGGGAATGGTACAAATTACTTACTGAGTATTCAATGATTCTACTCAAGTAGGATTAAAGTAAGAAGTAAAAGTAAGAAGTACGGCACACTAAACCTGTTCTTAAAAGTAATGCTTTTTTGTTTTTTTTTTACTCAAGTAAATGTAACTAAGAAAATGTAACTAATTACTACCTACCTCTATTCCCATAATCTTATACTCTTGATTTTGATTGTCCGCTGAGACATTTAATGCAGCTTCAAATGTCTTCACAGCTTTATCCACAACCTGTCTGCTGTGTTTTTTGTTAGTGCATTATTAATTTTTTTTTTTATGTAATGTTCTCAAACAAACCTCTGGAGAACCCTTGTTTATATAGACCAGTGCACGCCTATGATCTACATTTACTTTTTAGATGTTTCCTGGAGGCACTTTGTGCTCTGGCTGTTATTTAGGGGTTGCAGTGTAAAGGAGGCTTAATACATGTTAATTTCACATTACTTTATGTTGGTCTATTCTAACATGAACAAATGTATAAAGGTTCTGGGGTGTGAATACTTTCGCAATTAGTACATCCTGAGAGAAGAACATGTGGTATATATTTAATAAAATACAAGCAAATAAAAACTTTAATATTGCAGCACTTAACATTTAGTCTTTACAAGGCAGCTGGGGAGATGATTAGCAGCCTCCCTACGTGACGTACGTCCTAAGTGAGAATTCCAGATTTAGGGG